ACCCTGTATTATAGTAGATTTATCAGCAGTAGGGGAAAGTGTTGATATTTCGGACAGTTAACACTGTAACGTTATTTTCCTCAGCATTCAGCCTAGTGATAGGTACATATGACATATCAATCGATAGAATGACATTTCCGGAATACTTTTCGGTTTACCTCGGCAGGCTTTGTTTACTCTACTGAACACAAACGGCAAGAGAACGTAAGGGGTTGTCATGTTGTAACTTCGGACGCGGGCGTTGTAATTTCGGACACATGGTGTTCTAACCTCGGACAATAGGTAAATATAACTTAAAAACTTTTTAAAAATAACATAATGACCTGTCTGTAATATATCTGTCCATTCTGACTTAAAAATAAACTCTGCATTTGTACTTTCGTTTTAGAAACAGTGACTATAGAGTGCGGATCCATATTTTTTTCTCTTTGTTTGGGGTGGACAGCTGGTAAAAGTGCAAGGAAATTTTTAATTTGATAACTTTCTGACAATTAAAACAATAATAATAAGGGGGTTTTAAAATGACCAAATTGGGTCTACAACAAAACGGTATTTTTATTACATGGGGGATCATTTCCTAAAAGCTTTTGAGAAATCCACATTTTCCCAAGGTATCCAATTAAATTACCTTTTCATCTATAATTGTGAAATCATTAATATTGGATATCTTTAGGGGTACTTAATTAATTAATGTAGTTAAACATTTTTAATCTTATATATGTTTTTATTTCTATGAGTTTAATGATTTACCAAAAAATAAGATAATATCAAACATTAATGAAAAAAAATTTAATAAAAATAATAACTGAATGCAAGTAAAGGAAAGAAAAGATATTTGTGAAATTTGTAAGATAATTCAATTTAATAAAATTTGCAAGATAATTCTTTTCAGAATACAACATTCATTCATTCATCCACTGACATCTTGGACAAAAGAAGGCTCTGTTGTCATTTAAGACATTCAAGATTCTAGATGGTACACATTTAATGTGTACCCAAGATGCACAGCTATCACACTGAACCCATGCCACCTGTTCACCTTTCTCCCCAATATCATTCTCTTGCATGCACACACAGCATAAGACTTTTTTGGTTTTAGGTTTTCTGTTTTCTTTGTTCTTGGTTAGTTCTTCTTTCTGTTTTTTTTTCTCTTCTCTTTTTTGTCTCCTCTTTTCTTTCTCCTTTTCTTTTCTTTCTTTTTCCTCTAAAGCACCTTTTTTCTCCCTCAAAATATCATCTGATGTTAATAACCTATGACATGTCAGCTTCTTTTTTTTCTTCTTAGAAATATCCTCATTGGAACTTGCGTCGGCTTTCGGAGAAAATATTTTGTTGATTTCTTCGCTGACTGTAAAGGAAGGAAGATCTACGTTGAACACCGTTGCAAGATGCAACAGATCATCCTGAGATGCCAGAGTGTAATCCCCTTGAGTGACAAGATCTGGGTTAGCATTTTCAAGAGCGACCTCTGCTAACACAGTCCCAAAATCATCATTGGCCACAGTTGGGTGTGAAAAGCTTGTGCTAGATGAAGGTGCATCGTTAGGAGGGTTCGAAGATGAAGAGCTCAGGAAAGGATCTGCTGAGGAGAAAGCCATAGCTATGTTCGAATTTTGCTGACTTGAAGATGAAGATGGAGAAGTCACAGGTGGTACAGTAACAACAACTTCAGAATCTATGGTAGATGACAACGAGGAAGTGACATCAGGAGGTGTAGGCTCAGGTGCAGGCTGGTCAAAGGGTACACTGGTGAGGAATGCTTCATCAGGTATAGCAGATTTGCTCATAGGATGGATACCACACGCTTTGAATCCTGCCATTATGTTGTGGGGAGTGACAGCAGCATTCCAAGCTGAAGTAAAAATGGAAGGCCAAGTCTCCTTGGTTATCAGATGGGAGGGGCTGTCAGAAAGGAATTCTGTGCAAGCTTTGTTGTACGCTTTTGACAGGGGCCCAAACACTGTTCTGTCCAGAGGCTGCAACCACGCAGTGGTATGTGGAGGGAGAGCAAGAAGATGGATGTTATTTGCCCTCGCAGTTTCTAACAGACTAAAGACCTCATGACTGCTGTGCGAGTCTAAAATGAGTAACTGGGGACGATGATCTCCACAGTGTTTCAGGAATACTTCCTGAAACCACTGGTCCCCCAGTATATCACTCATCCAGGCATTTTTTTGATATGCCCACACTGTACCCTGAGGGGCGTCAGATGTACGGAAAGACTCTAAGCTCCTTCTAGTTTTGCCTTTCACAATGACTAACGGTGGCATCTTTTGTCCCGCTGCATTAACACATGTTAGGGTGCTAATGCTTTCCCTGGAGTTCGAAATCCTTCCAGGTAAGCTCCTTGCCCCTTTCCGTGCACAGACAGTGGTGGGAGAGTGCTCGAATTGAAACCCTTTTTCATCACAGTTCCAAATTGAGGATGGTTTATCCTGAAGATCTAGATTGGATAAAATCCTCTCTAAATCATCAAAATACTTTGAAACAACAATGGGATTCATCATTCGAGATCTGACAGTTGAGAGCTTCTCTGGCTTCCTGATGGTCAATACTGGAAAACGATTTTTCAGCCCTCTCCACCACATGTTTCCGGGCACACCATTTTTGAATGGTGTGCAGAGTTTCATTCTTTGGACAAGCTGTCCTGTTTTAAACTTAAACATAGCCCGACGTATTCCGAAGCCCATGTCAGCCGCATCCATAGCTGTTTTGACGAGTTTTCCCTCAATCTCTGATGATAATGCTGGGGTTTAGCTCCTGCTTCAACATTCCCTTTGACATGATCATGTATGGTTGTTTTTGGAACCTGGAATTCGGCTGCTTTCCGGAGTGAGAGCTGGCCTGTTTTCACAGCATTGATGGCATTTTCCAGATTCTCTTGGGAATATGTTTGATAGATGTTTTTTCTTTTTTTTGCCATTTTCCTGAAATTTTAAAAATTTTTATTTATTCATGCTTATTTGATGCAATTTTTATAAAAGAAGGGGGGCATCTTCCTTAGAATCTTTAGTACTTAAATTTACATTGTAACTTGTTAAAGAAGTTAAAGAAACTTTAAAATGCCTTAAAGGAAAACAGGTCAACCCCTATTATCACACCCACCCACCCCCTTCCAAACTAGATGGCTTTTTTATGTACATATTGTTGTTTGTTGTCATAATTATTAAAAATTAAAATATTTTTTTTATGTATATATATATTGTTGTTTGTTGGCATAATTATTAAAAATTTTAAATATTTTTTTTTTTATGTACATATTGTTGTTTGTTGTCATAATTATTAAAAACTTTTCAAAAAAATTTTTATATGTATATATATATTGTTGTTTGTTGTAATAATTATTAAAAAATTTAAATATTTTTTTTTACTAATCATTCCCTCAATACTTGTGGATCTTCAGTTGATGAAATTGGTAAAGAGTGTATGCGACCCCCCCCCCCCCCCCCCCCACCTTTCACTAAAGCTAAAATATTTTAAGTATGTACCAATTTACCTTTTTTAATTTAAATGAAAAAAGAATTAGCCTGTTAAAATTACTAATTCCTATGTCATCACACATGAAACTGTAAGGAACTTTAAAAAAAAAAACGACATAGAAGTGGTGTTGTAATTTCGGACATGGGCATTTATTTTCATTAAATATGCTTATAGCTAATGCGCTGTATTAAAAGTATAAAAAAAAATGTCTTTTTTGTATTTCTATGTACTTATTTTATTTGTATTTTGTTCAATTTCCTTCATAAATGACTTACCTGTAATGTCTTGAATTGTCTTCGAGGATACAGGTCAAAGCGAAAGTAACAACACATGGGCGTCTTTAACGACACGGAAGGTGAAGGTCGTTTATTTCGGACAACCAATCACAGTACAATGAGACATGCGCATAAATTTAGGTGTTTTCCTGATTCTAATATTGTAAATTATACCACATTTAAATATAGAACAAAAAACAGAAGACGATAGCGAATAAAGTACGTTTTTATTGAAGTGTCCGATGTATTACACGTGTCCGAATTAGTAACACTTTCCCCTAGTTATACCCTGTATTATAGTAGATTTATCAGCAGTAGTTATACCCTGTATTATAGTAGATTTATCAGCAGTAGTTATACTCTGTATTATAGTAGATTTATCAGCAGTAGTTATACCCTGTATTATAGTAGATTTATCAGCAGTAGTTGTACTCTGTATTATAGTAGATTTATCAGCAGTAGTTGTACCCTGTATTATAGTAGATTTATCAGCAGTAGTTATACCCTGTATTATAGTAGATTTATCAGCAGTAGCTGTACTCTGTATTATAGTAGATTTATCAGCAGTAGTTATACCCTGTATTATAGTAGATTTATCAGCAGTAGTTGTACTCTGTATTATAGTAGATTTATCAGCAGTAGTTATACCCTGTATTATAGTAGATTTATCAGCAGTAGTTATACCCTGTATTATAGTAGATTTATCAGCAGTAGTTATACCCTGTATTATAGTAGATATATCAGCAGTAGTTATACCCTGTATTATAGTAGATATATCAGCAGTAGTTATACCCTGTATTATAGTAGATATATCAGCAGTAGTTATACCCTGTATTATAGTAGATTTATCAGCAGTAGTTATACCCTGTATTATAGTAGATTTATCAGCAGTAGTTATACCCTGTATTATAGTAGATTTATCAGCAGTAGTTATACCCTGTATTATAGTAGATTTATCAGCAGTAGTTGTACTCTGTATTATAGTAGATTTATCAGCAGTAGTTGTACCCTGTATTATAGTAGATTTATCAGCAGTAGCTGTACTCTGTATTATAGTAGATTTATCAGCAGTAGTTATACCCTGTATTATAGTAGATTTATCAGCAGTAGTTGTACTCTGTATTATAGTATATTTATCAGCAGTAGTTATACCCTGTATTATAGTAGTAAGTTTTCTGTTTAGGTTGGATCGGATTTATCAGCAGCAGTTATACCCTGTATTATAATAGTATTTTCTCTGTTTAGGTTGGATTGGATTTATCAGCAGCAGTAGTGACTCATCCAGTGACTCGGATAACTCGGCTAGTGACTCAGAAGACGAGTCAAAAACAAACAATGGTGAGTACCTTCACACTTTGTCACCAATGTATCAACCCAACCAGTTTTCTGGATTGATTACAGATCATCTGTGTCTCATCGTGAACCTCTTCAAGGTTTTTTTTTCATTTGTCAAGTGTCCACCTTCAAATCAAAATAATCTTTCAGTATCTGAAGAAAAAAATTAAACAAACCAAAAGGGGGAAACACAGGTTTTTTTTTTTTTTTTGGGGGGGGGGGTTTACCTGTATGATGGAATAGTTATTTTTAGATTGTTTTCTGATGTGGAGATTTTATTTCGTTACAGAAAATCAAGGCAGGGTTTGTTTGGGGCTTACCTGTATGATGTAAAAGTTATTTTTAGTTTGATTTGGTTACAGATAAATCAGGACAGGGTCTGTTTGGATCCCAGCCTCTCTATCAGTCAGCCCCTTCTGTTACCTGTGTGATGTAATATTTATTTTTAGTTTGATTTGGTTACAGATAAATCAGGACAGGGTCTGTTTGGATCCCAGCCTCTCTATCAGTCAGCCCCTCCTGTTACCTGTATGATGTAATAGTTATTTTTACTTTTATTTTGTTACAGATAAATCAGGACAGGGTCTGTTTGGATCCCAGTCTCTCTATCAGTCAGCCCCTCCTGTTACCTGTGTGATGTAATAGTTATTTTTAGTTTTATTTGGTTACAGATAAATCAGGACAGGGTCTGTTTAGATCCCAGCCTCTCTATCAGTCAGTCCCTCCTGTTACCTGTGTGATGTAATAGTTATTTTTAGTTTTATTTGGTTACAGATAAATCAGGACAGGGTCTGTTAAGATCCCAGCCTCTCTATCAGTCAGTCCCTCCTGTTACCTGTGTGATGTAATAATTATTTTTAGTTTTATTTGGTTACAGATAAATCAGGACAGGGTCTGTTTGGATCCCAGCCTCTCTATCAGTCAGTCCCTCCTGTTACCTGTGTGATGTAATAGTTATTTTTAGTTTTATTTTGTTACAGATAAATCAGGACAGGGTCTGTTTAGATCCCAGCCTCTCTATCAGTCAGTCCCTCCAGCCTCCAACATCCTGGGTAAGTCTAAAACAACTCACCTCTGATATATATATCATGTAGGGGTGCAACGATGCGCCTACCCCGTGATACGATACGTATCACGGTATTCAGTTCACTATACGATACGTATCAGGATATGTGACATAGTGGGTTAAAAAGTCGGAAGTTTGTAATTATATACTTTAAATTAAAAAGTTTTATCAAATGTTCATTTCACTAACACTAGGAAAGTGATTACATCCTTCGACCCGTTAAATATGAGACTGGAAACAAGTTTAACTGCCGTTTCTGCAGTTTCATTGACCTCATGTTTCGTGCAGAAGCCATTTTGAAATTGTAAACGAGGAACCAAAACAGATGATTCGGATAACTAGAGCAAAGCTCGTTGCAAAGCAACGAGTGGGTCTTCCTTCTTAGCGATAAGCAGAAAGTGAAATGTTTCAATTGTCAACTTTGCTACCATTCTTTATTTCTTTATTTCTTTTACTCAAATAGCAAAAACCTTTCCGGGTTAGAATAAGTCCTCAGTACCCCCTTGCTTGTTGTAAAAGCGACTAAATGGGGCGGTTCTTCGAATGAGACCGTATAAACCGAGGCCCCGTGTCACAGCAGGTGTTGCACAATAAAGATCCCTCCCTGCTCAAAGGCCATAAGTGCCAAGCATAGGCCTAAATTTGCAGCCCTTCACCGGCAATGGTGACGTCTCCATATAAGTGAAATATTCTGGAGAGGGACGTTAAACAGTAAACAATCAATCAATCAATTATACTGTAAAAATACATATATTTACACACATTTATAACCTTAACTATTAGAACTGGTATGTCTTCTCTTGGAAAGGAAGACCTCCATACAGATGTTAACATGCAAGATCTGACACATACTTAAAAAGAATATTTATTCCAAACTAAAGATAGACTCTGTAACAAAATCTATTTCTCTTGAAAAACTGAAAGCAATTGATTTGTTCATATTTGTGGATTTATGTCTGTTTCTCAAATCAAAATTTAAATATGAATATTTAAAGTCAATATCATAAACTAAGACTGTTTCACATGAATGTTTCAATTTCATTATGCTGTTTATTCCTTGTCATCCCCCAACAGATGCTCTTCTGGCAAATCATGATCGTGCTTGGAATCAAATTTCAGTACTCTGATGACAGTCACACCTATCAAAAAGAAATTGAAATTTTTCATTGAATTTTTTTTAAAAAGTGCAACTTATACACTGTTATAAGATAAGATAAACCATCAAACTGAGTTCAAAGATACTGTCACATTTTCCGGTAGTCTATATTTATTAAAAAATATAGGTTTACAGGGAGTCATTTGAGGATGTTATAAAATAACATATTAGTTTTTCATGATTTCAAATAAAGAAAATGTACATTACTTGTTCATATCAAAATTTATCAGGAATGGTAATGGTTAACAGCTGTTACCGACTAATTAGCCAAAAAGATGGTATCCAGTTATGATTTTTTTATGTGTCAGGATAAGACCATTCGTAAAGGTGTTACAGCAATGAAGAACAATGCGCTAATGAAGTGACAAAATGCTATTGCATAAGGAACAAAGAGCTAGCGCAAAGTAACAATGTGGCTCTAGTTCATTTATAACACCATGCTAGTAAGTTTATGACAACATTCTGGCCAGTTTCAGACACTTACAAGGTAGCATGAAGTAAAACTGTGCTACAACACTTATGACGATGGTCTAGTGTGTTTATGACAACACAATGACAATGTACTTGTGCATTGTAACAATGTTGCAGCAGGCTTTTACACCACACAGTCAAGATTACATGTAATAGATTGTGTAAAGCTGTGTTGGCATGGCAGCATATTTTGTGTCAGCACAACTGCATGTTATTTTAAGTTGCCTTAGCCTATGTTAGCACATTGTTCCTAAACATACTGAAGCACTTTTACAATTAGCCTTATCTGGACACCATAATTTTCATAACCAACTAGCCATGTTTTTTTTGTAAAAGTACATGCACCAGAGTACATGTAAATCATTTTTTTTTAGATTTCCATATGTTTTAAAAAGACAAGGAATAAAATTATATTTTCTATAAGCTTCTATTCATTATAAGTGTTTGCCAAAGCATTTTTTCCTATATAACCAAAATACATCTTTGTCTTTATGGTAGCCTAGTAGTAGGGCATTCCCTTTATATAATCCTGAAGTTTAGCTTGATTTCTAGCCGGACTCAGTGCTACGAAGTTCAACAGGAAATGCTGGTTCATCACTGATGCTTAATCAAATTTACACATTAAAATATAGTACATTTGCGCAATCAAATTTGAGGCAATACAAACACTGATTACAGAATTAAATTTTCAAAGTTATCGGAAATTGTCAAAAAATAATTATAATAATGTACTTTCTACAGTCTTCTTCGATTAATTATTTGTTTAAAATATGCAAAAGATTTTCATCAGGTATCGATGTGTGCGCCATATTCTATAAATAAAGGTTGTATTGTCAGTCTAACACAAATGCGGTAAACATCATTAATTACTTGATGTACGCTTTGATGCAAATTCTCAGCTGAGAACAATCAGTGCATAATCGTTTGACCTTAAATAATCTTGCTGCATTAGTGTTTATTTACTTCTGTTGGTATATAAATCCCTGAAACCGCCTCAAACGATACATGTGATGAATATTTTATGCTGTTAAATTCTATAATAATTTTATTTAATTTTAAAACTTTTTAATACTATATATATGCCATAGAGATATTTTTTGTGGATAACATATCCTCTCAATGTCTGAATTTGTTTTTAAACTCTCATCACGGTCTTTGTTCATTACCCTGTAAATGAGCCCAGCTTTCAGTACTTCTGAGTACTTTGATTATTCACTGCATCAAACCTAAGACAAAAACATGATGCAGTACTTAATGTTACTTAACCATGCACCCAGCATTTGAAGTGAATGAGACCTTAAAAACCTCATAGTACATGTTAGGACAATGTCACTGAGTTCCAAATAAAGGTCTAAATAAAAACTATTTACCGGTATATATTAACACCTCTAAATGAGTGAAGGAGTGAAAATTCTCAAATAACATTACCAATCAAAGTACCAATAAGAAGCTGATTCTTGCATCACAGGTTCCAATCCCATTGCTAAATGCTTCAGACGGGTTACTCCAATGAGACCGCATACACCGAGATTCAGTGTCAAAAGGATCCCTTACTTCTCAAAGGCAATAAGTGCTGAGTACAAGTCTATATTTGCAGCTTACTATCCCAAGTGGTGGCATCATCAAATGACTGGAAAATGTTTGATAGGCCAATAATCAAACAAACCATTCCTGCAGTCATCTGAAAATAAGCAAACTTTCTATTATTACAATTGTTTTTACAAATTTCTTTTGAGATTTAACTGAGCAACAATTGTGCAATTTTTTGTCAATAAATTTTGATATTAAAGACTTTGTTTTAACAGCTATTTATAGCAATTACAGACAGCAGCACGAAGCGCTGCTCATAATGCAAGCTCTCATGACAACGCCTTGGTGAAGAGAAAATTATCACTTGCTTATTGATCCACACAATTTCTTTTCCGCAGTAACTTTGGACCCACAGTGCTTTGATTCTTTAAGATACATTCTTGCAAGAATTGATCAAAAGTTTCCAAAAAATAAATTCACCTTGATTTAATGGATACTTGCAGATAAATAGTGGGGGAAAAATTCTTCATTAAAGTCAGCACTATTCAAGATTAAAACTGGTAATGTAGGCCTAACTTACACCACAACATCGTGTGACTTCAAAGTCTAGTGCCCTGTTCACATGGAGAGTTTAATTTGCAGTAAATGATTGCAAAGTAAACTAATGCGAATCAAACTAATGGGAATCAAACTGTGTTAACATGATATCTAATGCGAATTAAACAAATGCGAATAAAAATTTTACTACTACAGTCAAGTGTCAGCAAGGCTATCCACTCAAAAATAGCACAATTAAGTACTTAAAGCAGACCACCAACATCTAGCATTTGAATTAATTTTGCCATTACAAATGCCTCAAAATTTAATTCGAATAAGCTTCCCTTTGTGTTCACATGGAGCTAATGCAAAGTAATTTGATTCGCAGTAAATTAATTCGAATTAATAAAACTAATTTGAATTCAACTCTCCGTGTGAACAGAGCATCGATGCACCAAATATCAAGTGCGGTTTGACAAGCCCGATCTAAATTAAAACTGAATAAGTATCTGCCCTCACCCTAACAGTCACACCGTCAACATATTGTTACGGTGTATATTCAACAAATAATAGAGAGGTTGAGATTTCCAACGTGTACGTGTACGGGTACGTCTAGTAGGGTAATAACCTAAATTCTGTGTGTATTACGTCATCAATTTTAGTGACGTCAAGATTGCAACAAGTTCTTAAAACTTGTAGAATGGAATCTACACGTAAGTGAAAACGTGTAGCTTTAATAATAAAAATTAACCAATTTAAGTGTGAAAATGTGATTGTTATGCATTATATAGGATGTTTACTTTCACGAGCACTTATTTTCATCAATTTTTGTTTACTAACTGACGACAAAAAACCTTCTAAATACTTGAAACAGAGACACTGATCGCGGTGTACACGTACATGTTACACGTCATAAAAATCTCAACAGACAAATTTAAAAAAAAAACATGTACGTGTACGTCAAAATATATACAAGTACACGTACGCGTACAAGTTTAAGTAGATAGAATGTTCTATCGTTAAAATGATATTGTCCTACGGACCCGGTTTAACGATAGAATTCGTTCCGTGTATTCGTAATGTAGCAGAAAGAAACACGGGCGATAGTGCATTTACAAGGAACAATCTAGAGAGTTCCGAATGTAAACATTTGAATGGAGAGAAAAACGTTGAGAAAATTAATTGGATTTACGTATTTATATGGATTATTTCTTGGGATAAAAGGCATAAGCAATCTCAAGAAGGTTTGTTTTGGTTATTTTGGTAGTTATTCCCAGTGCAAATCATTTTATATTCTTCAAAATCGTTTCGGAGCGGATCCGCTCCGATTTGCTACGTTGCAAGTATATGGGACGTATTCTAACTGTGGTGAGGGCCTGTACCGAGACACAGTTAGATTATTCTTACTAAAGTTTAAGATCTCAACCTCTCTATTAAGTGTAGTGTAAATTACCCCTCCATGGTTACTGCGGTATTGCTCTTTTGCAGGGCAAAATAATAACGTTTATCAAAGTTATTGTTGAGAGATAATTAAATAACGTATATTTAACAATTACTTATATGTCATATTTCACCAAACTATATCATTTTGCCCTGCAAAAGAGCAGTACCGCAGTTACCGTGAAATGGTCTATAAGAGTATCACTATGATGGAAAGTGGAGTGTTGAATTTTTTGTTTTGAAAGTGAGTCTTGTTGAAATTAAATGCTCACATATATTTAAATAAAAAATAAAAAGCTGTTGGGATTTTAAAAGGCTAACAGAAAGCGTCTGAGCCTTAAAACAGATAATGTATCGGTGTGTCTGTGTATTTTTAAAAATATCAATGCTCTAAGCTGCCATAGTAATTTAAATTTTAGGTAAAATAAATTTCTAACCTTCATTCCGATAGTCCATGCCAATCAAACTTTAAAATGTCACCGTCGACTCTTTCATCACGCGATACATTTATCACTGGGAACCATGAACCAGAGTCAAGAGTGCTCAGCTTGTTAATTTAACAGTCGGAATTTCCTCGTAAACAATTCACACAAAAATTTATAAATCGGATAATTCTGCTGAAAATAATGCTCCAGAGGATTGATAAAGTACTTCGTAGCTGCAGATTAAATGTGCGTGCATGTCTACATACGGCCTGTGGCTTGGTGGTAAGAAATGCTCAACTTTACATGATTTCCAACTTTCAGTTTGTAAACATGTGTCAACTTTTTCCTACACACTAATAACCGGATATACGAGAGACCTGATATTTACCTGATGTTTTTATTTTAGATTAAATGACAATATTGAGTACTTCAAATGACTTATTTAAATACTTTATGACTATGATGCAAAATGCTATACAAAAATTCGTTTGTTTGGAATATTTCCTGACGATTTTGAATCAGGTCAAATAAGGTTTTTAGTATATCAGGTCTTTAGTACCTTCCCATTTCCCACAATGCCGCGCGTTGTTTACAAACAAGAGGCCCCGAAAATACTTCCTCTTAACTAATGCAGAAATATTTTGATTTTACCTATTGTTGTATACAACATCACATTATATTTATTATTTGAATAAAAAGAAAACAGAGAAACACCGAATCAAAATAATATCTTTCAGATGCATCGATCAACTAGAACTAAGCAAGAGGCCCAGTAAAGGCTTGGCTATAGTAGACATCTTGTTCCTGTAAGGTTTCTCACATATTTGTTTTATAAAAAAGTATTAAATATAGCTTGAAGTTTATTTCTCTTTATATCAAACGACAAGATTTAATCAGTTCGAAATTATTTCAGTCAAACTTTTTCATAATAAACCAATATTTTTAGCTAACAGAAAAAAAACGTGTATGAGTTATTAACCCCTAATTATAGGGACCAGCCCCTTTTCCTTGATCTTATATGAAAGCTCTTGTAATTATGCACAACTTTTGTTATATATTTCTTACCAAATTATTCTCGGTTCAAAAGTTATTATACAAAAAGAAGCAAAATTTCATGGAAAAAAGATTACTTAAATTTGCCGTCACATAGCTTCCGATCTTTAAGAAATCAGCTTATAATTATATCGTTATGCACATCTACAATGTATTGGCTACAAGTTCTCCAACTTTCATGTAATTATCATAAGTCGTTCTTGAGTTTATTAGTGGAAACGAGACATCAAAATTATCAATTAAAGGGCAATAAATCACAAAGTAAGGCATGTATCAAAAAATTGAAAGCAGATGTAAATAGGTGTAAATACAAGGTATTTAACCTAAAAGTTTCATAAAAATCAGTCCAAAGGTCTTTGAAAAATCGCCTGTCAAAAATCCGGCGGGAAAAAAAACAAATAATAACTAGAAAGTCTGCTATTGCAAGCAATAGCATATGTCGCCCCGTATTGGACAACATTTTTATCATCACTAAAACAATGGTCCATTAGCTAAGCTTGGACAACCATCCAGTCGTATCAGTTCTTTCCGTTGGAAACGGAAGACCTTAATTGGGTACATCCCACTCATTATTTTTAGAACTGTAGGAGAAGAAAGTAGTGCAGGAAAAAAATTACAAGTCCAAAATTGCAGACTTGCATAAAAGAAATTGAGCAGATGTACTGAACTGAGCCTCATACTTGTTAATTGGCAGTATCTTTCCTACCAAAAAAGCTTGGCAAATATTATTTATAAAGAAGATCAGCCTAATTATTTTGTGTATTATAACGCCAGTGAGAACTCAGAAATTTCCCTACTTTCACTTTCATTTTTAGAGGTTCTGCCGGAAAACGAATCTGACATGCCACCTTCAATTTCTGCATTGTACAGGGCTGATGTTTCTTATGAGATGATAAATCATGTGTAAACTTTCTCAGTTTAGCGAAATCATGAACATTTTCGGCGAGATGAATGTTTTGTTTACAGTAGTGATCAAGGCTTAGCGCACCTGTAGGAGCGGATCCAAAGATTTATGAATGAATAAAAACTATGGAAATAACGTACCAATTTTCTAATTTATTCTTGCACTATTTAATGAAATTAATAATATACAAATAATAGATATACCAAAAAACGCGAAATGCTAATAAATGCAGTTGACAATCGTTATTTTTTTATATAGAAAAAATAAAATAATTATAAAATCTAGAGACAAGACAGAAGAAGAATGACTGTTGGCAAATAATCAAATCACATCAGGAGAACTGAATTTTATGAATGAAACATTTAAAACGTTACTTGTAAATTGTATATGTTATATCTGTGTATTCTACCTGGCAGTGCACTTCAAAAAGGGGGGGGGGTCGTCTTGAACATAGTACCTTACGTTTGAACGGTAAGGGCTAGGGCTTTCGCATTTCAAATATGTAATCCTTGTGAAAAGAACTTTTATTGGACACGAAGAACTTTGACCCTTTGACCTAGACCTTGGAGAACACATGTGTACATCTTAACCTTTTTTCTGTTTCGTTTCTATGACAACTGTGAGCGACTCATTACAATTATTTTAAAAGTAGAAATCACTTTGACACATTGCAAGGAATTAACATTGAAAGTTTCAAAACGATTGCTTGAGTAATTATTGAGAAAAGCGAAATTAAAGAATTTTAACATTCCCCTGGTTTCCATGGCAATAATCGAATATTTGAAAATTTTAAATGCAAAGCGCACAACTACAGATACTAATCATTAAAATAAAAAGAGTTTCATGACGAACGTTTAAGGGACCAGAGAGAACACTCTCGGACAAAATTCGTCGCTTTTTACAGGTTTCCATGGCAACGGTAGACATATTGGAACTGAACGACCTCACTGCACAACTACAACCAGTGATCGTCCTTTGAGGAAAGTTTCAGGAAGATTGCCCCAGCCAACTCCGAGAAACAGCCTGGATAAAAAAAAACATGCGTACAATATCAATATATCGTCCCCGACTTCGTTCGGGGCGACATAATAAGAAACAGTAGAATAACAGTAGGGTCTTCCGAAGGAAGCTCGGAAGACCCTAATTACGGACATATTAAACCGAACCGTGATATCAGTTTCACGTATCGTGAACCCAACCGTGGAGAAATAAACCGCGGTATACCATCAAACGGTTTATCGTTGCACTCTTAATATCATGTGTACCGATAAGTGTGTTAACAACAACCCCCACCCCCCCCCCCACACACACACACACTCACACTCCACCCCCAATAAAATCCTTAAAGTTTAACACATAACTTCAACATTCTGAGAAATGTTGAACTCAGTGATGTAATGCATGGTTGTGCTGCATTTTCACCTGTCTTTGCTTATCTTACTTTCTATTCAATGCCAAGGAAATGATCCGAAATCCATTTGTATTGGTTAAGGGAGGGGCACAGCCGCCCCCCACCCCCTCCCTTCTAATTTTTAAATACACATGTACTTTTGAAAAAAAGCTACTTTGTGCTCGAGCCCCATCAATAATAGCATCTGATGACCTTCAATTTTGCATTTCAAGGAATTTTTGGTTGTTGAACTTGATAGTGCCTCTAACTGATAATGTTTAATTGTGTCCCCCCCCCCCCCGCCCCAAGTTAATTTGCTTCCTTCGGGTTTGAGCATATGAATGATTTAATTTTCTTGCTTTATATACAGGTAAAGATCTGGAACTGAGTGATGATGATAGTGAGAGTGATTGACAGCCAGGGAATTCTGGGAAGGTTTGGAAAAGTGGAATTCTGGGAATATTTGGAGAAGTTGTTGACATTGTTGTCATAGAGGACTCCCAGTACTGCTTTACATGGACATTGTTCTTCTGTTGTTGCTTTATACACAATGTAAGGGTAGTGTGTTATTACTGAGTGATAGAAAGTTTGGAAGAATGGTGCTGTAAACCAACATTTTTTGGCCTGCGAGAATTTTTCATGAGGTTCACGAGAGTCTCTTTATCATGAATATTTCTTGCCGTAAACCAGTCCTTAAGGTCTCTTTCTTTTAACAACACATCCAAAAAGGCTTTGATTGCAAAAAATTATTGTTGCGAACTAGTTTAACCTCGGTTAATCGCGAAAAAAGTCCTCACGAATAAAAGTTGGTTTTCAGTACTGTAAAAGTGGTTATTTACACTGATTGTTAAGTACGCGTTTGTGACTGTCAAACATTACAAGTGGGTATAATATATGCGGTCGCACGAGTTACCGATAAAAATTTACGCGGTCATCCATATCGTAACTAACATCAGGTCGTTACCCTTTAAAAGTGACAAGAAAAAAATTGAAACAATTACAAAGAAATTAAAGAAATCAATGACAGTTAGATAATAATTTAAACTGTTGGATTGGTAATTGTAACGTCGATGTGTACATGCAGTCACAAGCGGTGAAGTGTGAACAACTGGTGTACGCTTTATTGTAATTATTAACGCAAGCTCAAACTTCAAAGTGAAATCTACTTACCTGTATCTGCGTCTCGAGTTTTGACAATTAATTTAATAGGTATGATCATAGTGACTGTGAGTTTTTTTAAACATTTTGGACCAATCATTTGAAATTAAGAAAGCTATAAACAATGAAAAACAAATATACAAAGGAAATAAAATGAGTATCGATGTATTGAAGCTTTAATTGCGTGAGGTTGCTTTAAAATATTTAATATGAAGATGCATTTTTCATTGCACCAGTAACTTAATAAACATTAAGGTTTTCATCACAGTTTGTGACACATTTATTTATTTTCAGGCGTTCAATACCGTATTACCACGATAAATGTACTTTTGGTTCAACCTGTCTAACAGTATAAGTAATAATCTAGAATTATTTCAGAAGATTAAAATTTTGTGACCATACGCGCGGGGGAATTTTACTTGGTTTTTAGCTTACCGCGTAAATAACCACTTTTACAGTATATTACAATGCAAATTGTTTTTAATAGCAATACAAAGTAATAAACTGATATTATTATATTTTTGCATTATTACATTTAGTATTTTAACTATTGTAAAAAAAATGTCAAAATGACATTATTTGGAGCTGTTTTATTTTCATAACAGCGTTATCTAGTCCATACGAATGTCAGCTGACTCCATTCTAATGTACATATTAGACTTATTATGTTATGAGATAAACATATGGAGAACACTGAATTGATACTGTGATGCACATCATCTTGATTTATCCATTGGCTCAAATAGAAAGAAATTCTTTCATAATTATATCTTTTTAAATACCTCTTGAAAAAGATTGTACATGGACAAGAATTATTATTAAAACTAATTAAGTTTAAATGGAATATTCCCTTCATTTAATTGTATAATATATTTTTTGTGTGTTTACCAATTTTGATGGGCTGAATTTTTTTTATAGAAAAGAAAAATTGTTTGATATTGACCTCACACAACAAATTTCAGAGGATACAAACACAATTGATTTTGTCAAAACTGTGATAGCACACTCGACAAAAAAATTTGCTTTTTGGTTCTCAAATGCAGCATTCAAATTCTGTACAATTTGTACAATTAATGCTTACAATGACAAATATTTCACAGTTTTATTTTATGCCTTCTTGAATTTTTTTTTTAAATCTGCTCCCCTCCCCCCAATTAAATTGTCCATCTTTTTGCAAATCTTGAAAATGTGTGTCAGGTGGCATGTGCTCGTTCAATGTCTTTCATGCATCAAATGTTTTATATTTTTGTGACAGGTTTTCCTGTTTTCCTTGAAATAAAGAAATGAAATGTAGCGAGTCTAGTTGATGTGTGTATAATGATTTCAAAATCACATATGTTCTAGGGGTCAAGTTTTCCAGGTTTAGAATTATACATTTTGTTGTGGTCATGAATTCGAGGATCTCTCCATACCTTGAAAACAACGAAAATTAATCCCCCAATAAAATACTGTAGACGTACTTTTTTCTACGGGGTCATAATTCCTCGGAATCTCAATTTCTGTTCAATCTGCTGGTAGAAAATTACGCAAATATCTGGAGACTCTTATATTTGCATTACGTTCGATGGAACAATTTTTTCGGGAAAATTTGTGACTGCGTACATAGTGTAAATTAATACCATGCGGAAAGTACTTCTACAGTAAGTGATTTCACAGTATATTTCTTTGTCAAAAGGCTAATAATAAGGGTGGCATTAATGGTTATTGATAGCAACGGGTGATTCCATGCTCAACAAATAAAGAAATGTATATCGTTTTACTCATCATAGAAATTTTGAAGAAGTATATGCAGCAACCATGTTTTTTATCATTGGATACCTATAACCTATTTAAAGGACAACATGAGCTTAAAAAACCCAAGTGTTGAATTATTTCCCTTGATTAATCCTGTTTATGAAAATAGTGTTTTACATGATTTCTTGTAAGTCGAAGGTCTATTTCTATTGATATTTTGGATTTAGAAAAATAATAAACTCTTATTAAACCCATATTTAAGGTTTGATTTCAATGTTGATGCTGCAATACCACATCTCTAAAAAAAGATGAACGCAACTGGGCTAACAATGATTAAAAAGCCAGAGCTGTGCAACAGGAAGTTGCCATTGCATTTTGTGTACATCGATCGACTTTGCAGTTAAACGTATGTCTCTACCAGCTTGGAACATGCCTGACAGACCAAGAACTGGTTGTTTGCGGATATATAACCACACCAAGACAGGACCGTCAGATCCCCTTTCAGCACCTGTGCAATCGATTCAGAACTGCAGTACAAGCTGCTGCTATAATTGCTGGATGAGGAAATCAGCATAAAAGTGCACAAATTGTTCACAAGAGCACAACATCCGTATCTTGGAAATCCACCAGCGCCAAGACGTTACAAAGGACATATGGATTGGTTATGACCGTTTTCCCCTAAATATGGAGATGTCCATAATGACATTAACTTGACTTTTCAATTTGCAACATAGAGCATGTTTGATTTTTATCACAACACACTCTAAAATCACTTTTAAAAGAAGAGGTTTAAACTGAAAAATATTATCATTTTTAATCTCAATATGTGTTTTTTTTTCGTTGAGCATATATTATAATATGTAAGGAACACCCTGTATACCTGTATCATGACTGTAATAGAATCCCAATGTACCTATATCTTGACAACCTGCAATAGAATCCCACTGTACCTATATCATGACTATCTGTAATAGAATCCCACTGTACCTACATCATGACAATCTGTAGTAGAAACCCACTGTACCTATATCATGACAATCTTTAATAGAATCCCACTGTACCTATATCATGACAATCTGTAATAGAATCCCACTGTACCTATATTATGACTATCTGTAAAAGAATCCCACTGTACCTATATCATGACTGTAATAAAATCCCACTGTACCTATATCATGACAATCTGTATAATAGAATCCCACTGTACCTGTATCATGACTATCTATAATAGAATCCCACTGTAATAATATCTTGACTACCTGTAATAGAATCCCACTTTAGCTATATCATGACTATCTGTAAAAGAATCCCACTCTACCTATATCTTGACTATCTGTAAAAGAATCCCACTGTACCTGTATCATGACTATCTATAATAGAATCCCACTGTACCTATATCTTGACTATCTGTAAAAGAATCCCACTGTATCTATATCATGACAATCTATTATACTATCCCACTGTACCTATATCATAACTACCTGTAATAGAATCCCACTGTACCTATATCATGACTACCTGTAAAATAATCCCACTGTACCTGTATCGTGACTATCTATAACAGAATCCCACTGTACCTATATTATGACTATCTGTAAAAGAATCCCACTGTACCTGTATCATGACTGTAATAGAATCCTACTGTACTTATATCTTGACTACCTGTAATAGAATCCCACTGTATCTATATCATGACTACCTGTAATAGAATCCCACTGTACCTATATTATGACAATCTGTAATAGAGTCCCACTGTACCTATATTATGACAATCTGTAATAGAGTCCCACTGTACCTATATTATGACAATCTGTAATAGAATCCCACTGTACCTATATTATGACAATCTGTAATAGAATCCCACTGTACCTATATTATGACAATCTGTAATAGAATCCCACTGTAGCTATATTATGACTATCTGTAATAGAATCCCACTATACCTATACGTAATAAAGAAAACAAAGGAAGGTATTGTCCCAGATAATAACATATATATTAATGTAGACTTAAGTAATGATAGTTTTCATAATCAGTCTATCACATGTGAAGAAATAAAGAAATGCAGTAAAGAAGTTAAAAACCAATAAAACACCAGGTGGTGAATATTTTTTTGAATGAGTATATGAAAACAACTATTTCAAGCTTTCTGCCGCTGTATGTAGAATTATTCAACGTGATTTTTGATAGTGGCATAATACCAGAGGACTGGTTAGCAGGGTTAGTTAAACATATTTATAAGGGTAAAGGCGACAGAAGCCATCCTGAAAATTACTGACCGATTACATTACTTAGTTTTTTAGGAAAAATTTTTACTAGTATACTTTGTGACCGTTTAAATACTTTTGCTGATGAGGTAGATCTAATCAATGAATCTCGAACAGGGTTTAGAAAAAGTTATCCTACTGCTGATAATATATTCGTTATTGATTTCCTGAGCAATGTGTTTTTCTCACTCTTTTCTTTTTTCTTTATATAATTGTCTTTTTGTTGACCCTTGACTGTAATTTTTGTTTGTGTATATATGTATATATGTACCTCTTGTACCAGTGATCAGGTTTTGAGCGAATAAAGAATTGAAGTTGAACATAACTGTATTGTTAATTAACTTTACATGTAGGTATCAGTAATGTGCATTAATTCTCTGTCTCGGGATTATTAATTCAGGGCGTGGTGTGGCTTAATCTATATTGGTTTTAGAATAATTTCAAATTTGTTATTGTACATATATAATAACTGGAAAATGCAAAAAAAAAAACAAACAAACAAAAACAAAACAAAACAAAACAAAACAAAACACCCCCCCCCCCAAAAAAAAAAACAGATATTAGCATTCATTAGCTTAAAAATGTTTTGGAACCCTTATTGTAATATTCCTCATTCAATTGTGAAAGAGTGGCTGGAATCTTTAACAGTTATTTCAAATGTCAAGAAACCTTACATTTTACCCGGTAATTTTGACTTGTGCCCTTACCCTTCTGACCCTTTTTAACACATAAATTATATAGTGTTCAGATTAAGGTATCTTACTTTTTTATTCTTATATTTCACATAAAAAATCCCCGTGACTTTGGCAATTGATCTTCTCTGACACATTAAATTGAACATGATTTTCAATTTAAAATACCCCCTCCAAACCTTTAAGCAAGAAAATTGCATGTAAGAATGTTAGAAATCTTTAGAATACATTTATTTAAACTTTTCAATGTCATTCCAATTTTTCTATTATATATTAATTGTTATATAGTTGCAGATGATTCTATTCCTTATACTGCAATCTTTTGTGATACTTTTTTGTGCCTTTTATTATAATGTCAAAAAATGCGATTTATACGTTTCCCTACTTTTCCTTCGTCAAAATTACAACGCATATGACTGCTTGTGTTTAATGTTGCAAACTTGTTTTGTTTAAAAGGTAAACTATCGTTTCAGAATATGTTTTCGTTTTCATTTGAAGTCATATGAAATTACATATCATGTGATCAATGTGAATATGACATTTTCTATTTCATCTTTCCTGTCCCACTTTTATTTAACAATTTTCCCGAGCACAAGGATGAAAATAC